TGTTTTTTTTTTTTTTTTTTTCCTTGTATTCCCTTCTTCCCAGTAGTGATTGGCCTCTTAGCCTCCTGACCTTTTCTACCTTTTTCTCACTTGCTCTGGACAGGTAACCCTGAAGGCAAAACAAGAGGGAAATAACCACACCAACAACTGGTCTTTCCCATCATCCAGTCTACAGTTTCCCAGTAGACTTTGTGGAGAGGGAGAGAAAGAGCATGGCTGTGTGTAGAGTTCTTAAATGTATGGCAAAGGGCCCAATGGAAGTAGTTATTCTGTCAGGGAATACCAGCTTGTGACAGAAATCTGTTTTAGTGTGAGGTTAACGACCCAGAAGAGTCACAGAAAGCCAGTCCCASTTCAATAGGCTCCCTTTGGACTTCTCAAAATGATCTACAAGCTTTAGGACAGACAGCACTTCTCCAGGCCATTTCTGTGCTCTGCACTCTCAGTTTTAAGTGAGCCATAAATATTTCAAATTAAGTTTTCACCCAGTTACTTGCCAACAAGCAAGGACAGGCCCCCTATATGTTCCATTTGAGCTGATTGACTCTCCAGAAAACACGTCTGTCATCACTGTCTGGTTTGAATGACTTACTTGTTGTGCACAAATCAGGTGGGGCGCCATGAGCAAGCAAGCTTGAAACTCCGTACCAAAGCAGTCCGAGTGTGCCTTTTTCCTACGCTCAAGTAGCAACAAAGGGCATACATGCATTTCATTCACACATATCCTACCCTAAATTCAAATACATGAAAAAAAAAAAAACCCACTAAACCAAAGACACTGAAATATGCCAACTAAAAGAGAGACAGATTCAAATTACTATGTCCACTGGAAGAGAATAGACATGTTTGTACATGTAAGAAGTTGATCCAACATAAAACTACTGTTTATCCAAATAATAAGCTGCTGTTGTCTCAGCAGCTCCTGCTCTCTAGCTCTTGATGAGACTTTGATTCCTGTTGCTCCAGAAACAGATAGATATACTGAGGAAGATGGTGGGGCAGAGAGGAAGGAAGGAGAGTACTGTAGCCCCTCAGCCTACACACATTCTCTGCRAACAAATGCACATTCACAAATTGTGTACGCACATCATATGTTGGGCTTATGGCTTTCTTGACCTTAAAAATCTGATCACAACTTTGATCAGCCTGTATCCACATGAAACTARAGTGTACAATGGTTTGTCTCTGCTCAAATTTTGCATGAAATACTTCTCCTCTCTCCATCTTCTTTTCTTTATCTAGTAAATCCATAACCAGCACTTTGTGTTACAATCTGGCAAACTCACACAACCACCACTGATTCAGTGCAATGAGGGTAATTAAGCATCAGAGGTCATCAGTGTATTAGCTGTGCAGAGCCCTGTGAACTCACAAAAGGGAAGGTGCTATGCAAGAAGCCACTATCATCACTGTCATTAGCAAAGCAGTGGGAGGGAAGGAAGACAAGACAAGGATATCAGTCTGCAACATCTTTGCTTTGCCTTGCTCACAGCACATCTTGCATTCCTCAGTACTAATTAGGTACCTGGTTAGCTGTAAGCTCCCCTCTGAGTTCTTTCCCTTCTGTAGGAGAGTTACTGGGAGTGTAGGAATGAAATATCTGCAGTTCGTGGCTTTTCAAGGAAACACCAGGCTTTAAACAAACCCAGTAACTTCGTACCTGGATGGATGCTGGCAAAAATAGCTCCTCTTTTCTGATCAGCTCTTCCTTGCTCCCCCATGCTTTGGTTCTCAATGAATGATTCAGGATCTGTATAGAAGCTATCTGTGTAATGGTTGGYTCTTTCAGGTCCTGGGTGACGCAAATTCAGCCTTCACTGCACATCCTCAGCACAAACTAGGGCACTGTTCAGCAGTACTGTTAGTTTTAACCTTGTACTGCCTGTCTGGAGAGGAAATAAAAGCTGCTCTGTTTCTGTGCGCAGGTGTGAAGCTGGACCAAGGCAGAGAGCACCCAGTATGTGGAGACTCCAGCAGGTGTACTTGAGTGAATACTGACCAGCACAGCCAACACGCTGCTCTTTGGGTATCACTTATAAAGCAGCTGCTACAATAGATTTGGAGAGTGTGGGGGATGTTCAATGCAGCTTCGTTTAGGAATTTGAATCATTATGGTCTATATTGGAATGATTTCTTTTGCACATCTCTTTTTGCTGTAGCAAACTCATTTTAAGCTCATCTTAKAACTATTAGTCAAATATTTAGCCTWGAGTTTTAGCTTTATTAAACTGACCCAGATTGTTCATTTATTCCTGCTACCCATCTCTCTGCCAAGAGCTTTTCAGAGTAGCCATCCCTATCGTATTCAAGTAATGACCAGATAAATGAGCAATATTTGAAACAAGAAATACTAAATCTGTGCTCTGTGACTGAGGCCAGCTCAGTGACCCTCACACCTGATGGAGGCAGGCAGTGACATGCTAGTAGCAATAATAACACTGCCCTGCCACTTTGTTATGAGTATTGCTACTACTGGAAGAATAACCTTGCTCATGGCAAGAGAAASGTTCTTGAGAAAATTTGCACATAAGAAATTCATGCAAATGAGCCTCTCATATACCTGCTTTGAGCACTGCTGGTATCCTTTCCCTCATTTTCCCTGTGTATCATGTTGGGAAGATATGGATAAAGGTAAAAATGGTTTTACATTAAAAAAAAAAAAAAAAAAGGCAGCGCAATAAGCGATCTTTTGATATCTCCCAGAATGAATAGCACTGCTTGGACGCATCACAGATAGGGGTGATGGGTCATCAGTTCAATATTACAGTCCGACCATTGCATCAATATGTCCCACACCCAGCTCTAAAGCATCCCTCTGGATAGCTCTGTAGGCACTCGCTGGTAGTTTGGCTCTTGTTATCACTGTCCCCACATAATTAATCCACAGAAACTCACGTAGTAACTTTTTCTAGACACAGGTTTTGAATTACAGCTATTAGTACAGATTATCACGTAGCTGGGGGAGGAAGAGAGGAGGTTTTGACAAGTCCTAAATGCTTGGAGCTGTAGATGGAGGGGCTAGGCTGATGGCCTTTAATTGCTTTCTGAAATGGTTAGTTATGGGCCCTGGCACAGAGAAGTGCTGCAGGCACTCATCCTCTCTCAAGACCAGGATTGGGTCACTAGGGTTTCCAGACTACCCCTACAGGTTTCTCCATACCTTCTCTGGAATCTTCAGCTTTTCCCACTGGGCCATCCCAGAGGAGTCCTCCATGCCAGCAAGGCTCAGTTTGAGTTCACCCACAATGCTGTGTCTCGAGAACTTGTCGCAGTTCCTCAGGGTGAGAGTCAGGGTTCCCTCTGGCACCTCTTCCTCCGTCAATGGGAACAGCAGGACCTCGTCCCAGAGAGTGTGGAGCATCTTCTTCTTTAGCTCTGTCTGGGCTTCAACCATACCAGACTTGCTCATCAGYGAGCCCAGTACATAGCAATGGCATCCAGTGTCCTGGTCCCCGCTCACCCTTCCGTGCATTGCTGCAAAGGAAAGGCTCATTGTAAAGGCTTCTCACAACAGACAGTTGTGAATAAATGATACGAGGTTTATCTCACAAAAGTAATAAAATAAAAGAAGTTCTTAGATATTTACTCCTGCTTGCGCTGGGCAGACTAAGCTATGAAACCCATGCAGTGGCATATTTTTTTCATACTGTGAAACTTCCTATTTCTTCTACAGAAGAATTTCCATTGCAGAAGGATGCTGTTAGTGTTTGAGAGAGCATCCACTGGGTTTAGGGGAAATGCTCAGTTGAAAGACATGAAGCAGCAATGAGATGAGACACAACATGGCAAAGGAATAGAAAGCTCTGGTTTACATTGGTGCACAAAGTGAACTTTTTATAGAGGCTTTAAAGGATAGATACTCACAGACACTGGAGCTGGGAAAAGCCTCCCACTTGGCACATGCCCACACTTGGAGGCCAGTGTGGGACACCTCTAAGGTTTATTACATTCTGTTTTTGTGACCTTTGGTAAATGGCTTCTTCTGAAGCCAACCCATAGCCCATAAGGTTTGTGTTGAAAGGCACTCAGCCTTAATTTKATATCCTTTTATGGCTGAATGAAAATGTGATTAGTGTCGAAAGAATCACACCGCCTTTTCTGCAGCTCTAAGAGCACTCCTTCCCCAGAAAGATCATGAAACAAGACTTTGTGGAGAAACTCAAGACTTTGTGGAGAAAAATGAAATTCTTTAAAGTCAATCCAAGGAGAAATGCTCTWGAAATGGCAAGTCCCTAGACTCACAAGAATCTCCTGGTATTTGGGGGGAGCAGAGAGCTGGATGCTGCCCGGAGGAGTGGTGGAGCACCCAGGGAGATGCCCACGTGCAGGAGAGCCAGGCTGGCAGCTCGCAGACGTGCACGTCCACCCTGGAGGCAGGCTCATCGTGTGGGCCTGCTGCTGGCTGGCAGCCCGCAGTGGCGAGAGCAGTTTAGCACCCCTTAAATTCTCACTACAGAGGATTCGATTTGATTAGATTTCCACAGAGATCTGCACTGTTCATGAATTATTCAGTCAGCTTATTTTACTTTCCGAGAGGAAGCAGTGACGATGCAGCCTGGAGCAGAGAAGCTGTTAGAATTGTCAGTCGCTGCTTCAGGGAGTACCACGGAGCCCAGCTGCCTGGCCAGGGGTGGCCAGAGGCTCCTTTTTTCAGTGGTCTAAAGAGGAAATGTGGTATCTCCATTGCAGCCTCTGACTTGGCCTGAACAAGAGTCAGTAGAGAAATGAGTGGATCATTGGCTACGCTGAAAAATGGAAATGGGAGGGAAGAAGGGGATAGCAACCCTTCCTCCCACCAAAATAAAAAAAGAACAGATTGCTTTGTATTTGTAGCATGTCTAGGGTAGGAAAAGTCTGTCCTGATTTCTGGATTTGACTTTAGAGCTGTGCAAGYTATTCTTCCCAATCATGCCCTGCATATATGCTTCAAGCTGTGACATTTTTAGGTATTTTTACCAGCCCGAGTGTCAGTGAAACATCCACTGGTTCTGGCGAAGCTTGTTAATTTTAATGAGAGGGGAGCACTTTATAAAATCAGCACGTGTCTTGTACCTTACAGACTGAGAATCAATAGTAAAAAATCCCTGCCTCTTACCTTCAAGAAGGGCCACACGCAGCTCTGCTTTCTGTCGGTCGTACGCAAGGGAGTAGTGCAGCTCAGGGACCTGGTTGCAGCTGGCTGCCCTCTCCGGGTTCAGGTGCTCCGTGACACACACATCCTTTACCACACCTGGAACTGAAGTAGCCCTGTCAGCAAGCAGGTCATCACCTTCCGTGGAGCTCAGATCCACACTGTTTTGACTTAAGCCTTCTAACTCCTCCATGTCTTGCTATTCCTTCACCTTGTGTGGAGGAATATCACTTCTGTTGCTTCACTCTCCCGTGTCATATTTACTCTCCCTTCTTTCTTTTCTCACTTTCAGGACCTTCTACAGCACCTGGTGCTTCCTCATCTCTCTGACAATCTCCAGTTATTCAAAAAAAAAAAAAATAAATAAAAGGACCTACCTTGAAAAAAATCATAATTATTTCTCTGGCATACCTTCAAGAAGGTATTATTAATAATGATAACCATAAGACCCAATTATGCCATTAAAAAGGCAGCTACAAAGGCAAAAACCAGTATGAAAGCAACCCAAATATGCTACCATATATATATATATATAATTAACATTACATTTTTCTCTAGGGTTTCAGGAATCTTGTGTTCCAGGTATTGGCATGTTGCTATTTGAGCTGGCAAGAAAACAAGAATTCCGTTTGGCAAAAATGTTTGAGGTCTCACCTTTTGGTTTCCCTGTATATTATGACAAGCTAAGACCATCTCACAGAAATGTAGGAAAAGAATAAGTAAACAAATAAATAAAACAGACAAAAGGCTGCAATCAGGCTGCTGATGTTGCTGACAAGGGCAGTGGCTGGGCAGTCCGCATTTGTCCTGAGGAGCAGTTCTGCCTGCCTTTGACCAGATATTCCACTGTATTCCTGTGGCAACTGCTCCCAGTGAAACTTTACCCTAAATAYATGTTTTTCTACCAAATGTTTGCCTCTAATACGTTATCATTCTTCAACAYAGAAAGTATTTAGGTAAATAATATTCCAACCAGCCATAATTATGGCTTTGTTAATAGACTCAGTGACCACTGTCTACTAAACATATGTATTTAATAAACAACTCACAGTGCTCATGATAAAAGATGAGAAAAATGACTCTTGCATTCATTTTCACATTTCTCTAACCAGGATTGCATTACGCACACAAACATTACAGATCTACATCCCTCAAAAAAGAAAATTATTAAGGACCGAACACTCCTACCGTTTTGAGGGAGAACAAACAGCTCTTCATTGACCTGTATCTTCATTCTGTTCTCATCCAAACCAGTATGTTTTCCAGTAATTGGTTCTTCTGTTGTCTTCAGGGAGTACTGTGTGTAGTTAACAACTTCAGGTGAAGTTACTACTGGTTTGGGGCCATAGATGTTGGGAAACTTCAAGAGTGCTCGAGGCTGGACTGGTTCTGCAGTCTTGTTAACGCTGAACTGAAAATTAAAATCTTGTTTATTATTCTGCACTAAGACTAGACTATTTTTTTTCTGATTCTCCTAAATTAACTTTGCTGAGACTAGGATGGTGAATTTGGTCGTTGTTAATGTCTTTATTTCTTAGTTTAGATGTCAATAGATTTTTTTTTACCAGATCTGTTACCTTTCTACTTGGAGCACATCATTTCAGATTCAGTCCTCTAAGGATGTTTGGTTGCAGTAAGAAAAAGATACATTTTTATTGTCTGATTATTTCTCCTTTTCTATACTACTTAGTCTTTCTTTTATAAGTCTGTGTTTCCTCTTAGCAAAGGACATAAAAGTTCTGTCTTCTATGACTTAGGCACAGTATTTTTTTTCCATGCCATTTGAAGTCAAACCCAAGATCAAGAGGTTAACATCACCCACAGATTTATAGAACTTTTTATATGAGAATATAGTAAACATTAGGAAGGCAAAGTCATTGATGATACAATCGCTTGGAGTAAGTACCACTTTGTTATAATAAAGCAAAGCAGAACCAGCTGAACAAACCATCTCTGCAAAAGTATATCAACATTATTGATTCACTGATTCAGCTGTCCTCTCAGCCTCTTTCTTAGCTCTGTGGGCCAGAGCTCCACCTCGTCCTGACACATCCCTTCTGTTGAACATACCAGCAGGCAGATGAACACTTAAAGAAGTGCTTGTTCTCCTCATCAGAAAAGCAGTGTTTTCCCTCTGTTATAAGGAGATTGACATTTTGATTTATGTCTGTGTCGTTCTTAGCATTTCAATTCCCTGCTGCCTCACTGACACTGGATAAATGGAAGGACCTGAAAGATGGTGTAAAGCCCAGGAAGCTTGGGCAAAGGTTGACACAACAGCATTACTGTTCTCCCACAACAGGCCTCATGAAAAATCTTAGTGGGCTAAAACAGCTCCCTTTGACTTATGTTCCCCCAAATCCTGGCTACTCACAACTGAAGTCATTCCTGATTTATTTATATTTGGATTCATCAATGAGAAGGAACAAAAGCTGACTAGTAAATGACCCTGATCTACTCATCAGATTTTGTTAATGTTTCCAAAGAATGAAAGACAAAAAGCAGAAGTAAAAACTGCCATTTTGGTTGTTATTATGCAATGGGATTCTGTCCCTGCCAGTTTGTTCTGTGTTAAGTTTAGAGGCAGAGTGAGCCAGAAAGCATTCTTAATTGTAATTAATGTTTTCATTAGTCTCACTGCTTCCTATTAATAGTGAATGCAGACAATGCCCTCAAGCACTTGTCTCTGTTGGGACCCTATGGTCCCAGGTCATGCAGCCTCAGGAAACATGCCTATTTCTCAAGAAACAGAGGTGGAAAAGAGAGCAGTCTTGGACTTCAGCTCACTAGTCATCTGTGGACATCATAGTGTTCCTGTGATAAGCATTTGGCAGTGATAATGATCTAATTAGGGCAGTGACTTCATCTCCTTAGGATAATCAGGACATTGGTGTTTAGGAAATCCACTCTGTAACACAGCCTTTTCTTTTGTTTAGTTGTAAGGACTTTGGAATGAGTTGAGAAAGAAGCTCATCACTGTGCGGGCACCCCCAACTAGCATGCAGCTGAGCTTTGGTATTGTGTAAGCCTTTATTGGTGCTCGTCAGTAAAGAGGGAAGTAAGATCCCTCTTTTAGCAATTGGAGCATCATCAGTTCTAAAATCCCCTAGAAGGTCTGAAATTATTCATCCAAATCTTAGATGGATCAACTTTTTATTCTTTTAAAATTAAAAGCAAACCAAACAAACAAAACATGGAAGGAATCACTAGACATTAGCATSACAAGGTCAACTTTGTTCTGCAAAGGTAATACTCCTAACCCACCTAAAATAGGTGTGGTGGCTGTAGTGGCCGGGGTCTGCTGTTCTGTCTCTCCTGGACCAACTGAGTAATGCTACTATCCTGCTGTTCACTGACCTTCACACAAGAGAGCTATGCCTGTGGTGCTACATGCTGTGAGCATATGTAGCACTTTTGAATCCTCTGGGATAAGGATTACACAAGTGGGAGCTCTGGCTATTACATTTTTTTCTCCACTTGCTAAAAGCCAGACATTTAGTCAGGAAATCCATCAATACACAGCAACTAAGAGCTCCACTGGGTCTCAGTATTCTTCTACTCTGTCTGTTGTGCAGAATTAGAGATGAGARACATATGTAAGCACAGTGGGACCAGCCCACCCCCTTTTTGAATTGCATCTGCCTCTGTTTATCATTTTTGCTGCCAGCTCTGTTCCTAAGTGCTATCTGCTAATCTTGATGTATAGTATATAGCCCTATAGAAGTTCAAATCATCAGCAATATCTTAAATAGAGATGAGCAGAAGGGTTCAGATAGGTCTGCATAAAATGTGTGAAAGCAAAGAAGGCAAAATTAGCTTGAAGTCTGCAACCACTCTTTCTGGGTCCCTTCCTAGTAACACATTAGGTTGCTGAGATTGCTATGTGTGTTTAGGTATGCTTGTTCTGTGTTTAAAGATGCTTGTTCAGCATCCTTTGCAGAGAATTTGCAAATTTGAAAATCTACCATAGGTTTTAATTGTTCTGTAAATATATCTTTGTGTTTGAATTCTTCTCCCTCAGCATGTAGGGCAAGACCTTGGGGAGCTTATATCAATATTAAAAATAAGCATTGATATAATGGGAGACATTTCAAGTGGATAAAATGTAGTCTTCTTTCATCTTGCTTTTGTCATCTCTGTTTACCAGAATCAGTGGCCCAGACAGGCTTCAAATATTAAGTATGCCAAGCACTGACTAGGACACAGTGCACGAATGTATTTCTCCGCTCGTGGAGAAAAAATACTGACAGGACAATTTATAAACATAGACACAGATGAGAAAACTTCACAGCCACAGAACTTAATTTGGGATTCGTTCCTTAAAGGAATGTAGACTAATTATGAATCAATGACAGCAGAGAGAATGCATGTTCCTGGCAGTAAAATTATTTTAATTGGAAAGAATTGGTAAACATACAGAATATGCAAACTAAGAACATTTTGCACTTTCTGTGACAGAATGTTCATTCAGCAGCTATAATTTGTCCAATTATAACTCTTTTTATTAAAGAAAGAAAAGGATAGTAATACTTCCAATTAGGAACTCTATAATGTTAAAAGAACGTAGTGGCTCAGAGTAGAATGATTCACTGAGAGAGAGGTGAATAATTTGATCCCATATTGGTCAAATATGATATTAAATTGCTGCAAAACTTAATGAATCAATATAGAATTTTGAGAGGACCATAACCTGTGACACACTGGGTACTGAGTGCTTAATTGGCCTTCATGGGAGTTTAGTGGTTATCTCAGACATGAAGGCTGGATGTCACCCTGAAGGAGAAGCTCCAGGATGAACTAACACTTTCTCCAGATGTTTCCCAGGAAGCTGTATGACAGAAAAAAAAAGAAGTCCAATCCAAGAAGGAAATTACAGCAAAGATTTGAGATGGTTTTGAACTAGAGAACAMCACATTAAAAAAAAAGTATCTTGTAGAAAAAGATGTAGTTTCTTGTAGGAAAAGTATCTTGTAGGAAAAGATGGTGAAGTGATGGTGAAAAGATGGTGAAGTGATTTGTGGGATTTGTAGCACTGTTCAAGACACTAACAGCTAGAAGAAAAATGCAAAGTGATGGGACCATTAAAGTTGCACACATACACACTTGTACAGAGGTTGGCAAATCCCCTCTATGTGTTAGTCAGAATGAAAAATGAACCTGGAATGAACRTGACAAAACTAGGTAGCAGAGGAGATTCATCCTGGGAAAGACAAATTGGATTGAAGAGGTATTCACCAAATCCAATCTGGACCAACTGGATGGGTACAGAATTTSCAGCAGTCCTTCAAGAAGTCCTAAACACAGTGATGGTTGGTCATAGTTAGTCCCTCCCTATCCCTATCACCCCTTCTCTCCACAAAAGCTACCATAAAAAATTCGGAGTACATGCATCAACTGTTGAAGTACAATTATTAGGTATGGTCATCTTCCCTCAGAAAAAGCACTGCAACAGGAGCATGAAGGACTCCTCTCTAGAAGAGAAACTGCCTAAAACTGGCAGCCAGAAAGCAACTGAATATCTAATTGTAAACATTACAGAGAAATCCTATTAGGACTCTTGCTAAACTCTTTAATAATACAAAAATAACAGGCACTTACAGATAATTAAAAGGCAAACAAAGACAATGTTTTACAATGGATTTTACAATGGATTTTACAATGGATTTTACAATGGATTTACAATGGATTTTACAATGTTTTACAATTGGCCATTGGAACTGTCTGCTGTAACATATCATTTTGATGAAAATGAAAAGGACTTATTCACATACAAACATTAAGAACTAAAGCCAACAGATAATACTTTCAGGGTCTGATCATTGTTATAGCTCATGCCAAACACCATAGTCAGACAAAGAAATTGTTCAAACATTTCTCACAGAAGAAGAGCTTCCCATCAATAAGTATACTAGAGGCATAGGACTTGGATTTAAATTATTTTTTTGTTGGATCCTAAGTAAGAAAGACCACACAGGGATGCCTGACATTATCAGCACATCACATTGCCTTTATAGTAACTGAGAAAGCAATATACAGTGTAATGAGTTTCTCCAGTCACCCCACTCCAGACATCCAATAGTGTCATAATTTTCATTTCAATACCTTGTTTTAACTTCTTCCACAATTAAAGCCCTCACTCAGAGAGGCAGAGGCAGGAGAAGACAGAGTTTTCATAAGAAACCAGCTGTTGACAGGGAACTATCCTGCTGGAGCCATTAGCTACTGGGGAAAGAGTTAGAGAAATCACTTTGTAGGAGATCCCAGCAGGAGGGATACTCTATCAATACTGTCATCTCTCCTTTGCAGTGCTAGCTTTATCTGGTAAAGTCCAGTCTTCTCAGCAAATGATCTCCCTTGTGATCTAGCTTGACAACTGAACAGCATTTCCAATTCTTCTCCCTTATTTTTGCTGATAGCAGCCTTCTCTTTGGCAATGTGACAGCTGTGTCCTGCTGTGGTAATTCTGTGGGTCACCCACCTCCCTGCTCTGTGCCTACCCTTAGTCCCCRTTAACATGGTGTTGCATCCTGAACCCGATAAGCAGATAGACTAGGCAGTATAAATCACACACTAACACGGAAGAAACATTCCCACCCTCTGCATTTAAAGAAATATCACAGTAAATTAAAGGCTATGTCTTACTTGCTGGGCTGGCTGAAGCACACTGGGTTTACCATTTTCCACATCCTCATCTTGGTCTTTTTCTGAGAGTCCTTTCCCAGCTTGCTTGCATTTGCAGAAGCAGGTGAGACCGCAGAGGGCAAGGATGCTAGTTGCAGTCCCTAAGGTAGCCCCCAGGGCAATAACTGGGGCAGATAAAACCATCGTTCTGAGCTGCACAGCCACAAAAAGCACTGAAATCCTGCGATTCCTTCTCCTCCCTGGGAAAGCAGCTTTCGCACATCCACTCTGACTTCTAGCCTGGCTTCATTCTCTTTGAAAGTCTGATAATTCTCTTGTACAGCAAAGAAAAGGGACCARTCTAGAGACAGAGATAAATCATCCCACCTTTGCTAGGCAATAATGCTACCTTTCCATCCTGCTGGTGGAGTTTCTGCTCCAGGTCAGGCTGAGGAAACAGTGATTGTGGTGCTGGCAATCTCCTTATAGCTGCAAACAGGCAGTTCTCATTGAAGCCTCTTCTCCAGCTCCACAGGGAAAAGTCTGATGTGCGATAGAGAGGAAAGACGTCAGCAGAAGGGGCTGGGCCTTGCTCGCTAACTCACAGAAAGTGCATCCAAATGTTGGATCAGCTCTCTAGCAAGCTGTCTGAGGGCTAGTTTACCAGTTTGCTTAAGAGGTTTTGAGAGTTGGGATTTTTCTTTTTTTTTTTTTATCTTAAATGAAAGACAGCCATTGCCTGCAAGTGCTGGTGTGGGAGCCATGGCTATGAAAGCCTCGCATGACAGCACTGGCTGCAGTCAGGGCAAAACCTGCACATGTATCATAGAAAATTTTCTCAGGGGGACAGTTCTGAGGCTGGGGAACAAGAACTAAGCAGTGTCCCACATTTTGGCACCTTCCTCCTGAGTACTGGGTGTACACCTTTCACAGCCGTGCTCTCTAACATCAATGCAGAACAATATTCCCATTAAAGCAAAAGGAGGCAGAAAATCCTCTCACACACCTGCATGCTTGCTGCTTCCTCTGGAGAGAGGATGAGAGCAAAAACAGCCTGTGCAGGGTATTAGTCATATTGCTTATTAGACCAGTGCCAGGCAATGAGTACAAGTGCCAGATCCCACCTGAACACGCTCAAAGGCTCCGCTTCCCCCTTAGCCAGTTGCCTTYTCAGCTGATGATGTCACTGGCTTTTTCTGGCTCGTTCATTTTTACCCTTTTTCTCAGAGTCCCTAAAGAAGGGGAGAATGAAGAAGGAGAATAAATGCCACCTCCCAGTGTGTTTCTTGTGGCATGTGCACCTGATTTCGGGGTCACTTCACAAGGATTAGCTAGTAGCCAAAATATGATTACAGTTTTCGGTCACTACATATCTGGGCCAGAGTAGCACTAACGAGGGAAAAGCCAAAGGTTCCCTATAAAGCTCTGGAAAAAAGCATCCATTTCTACTGGGAGCCTTTCTGTTTTGGAACACAGTTGCTGCCTGTGAATCAGGAGAAAGCGAACTATCTATACAGATATTTTAACTCTAGCTGCAGCCACTGCATCTGTCTATAATGGAGGCTTATTTTTAACACTTCCTGTTCTAAAAAAAATGGCCCATAATTGTGCTTCAGAGTCAGTTTTATCCTTGATGCTTGCTTTGCTACAATTGATGATTGTTTCTTTTTCTATAAAGAAATAGTGAGCTGACATGGGGCCATTTAATGACAATTTCACTGGCTGTTCCCACTGCTCTTGTCCACAATTACACTGTTTTTTATCTATCATGTGTGCCTTTGGAAAGTGTTTTGCCAAGGCCCAGTTAGACTGTTCTTGCAAGCAACACTTTAAGGGCATGTTCAAGCCTAAAAACTCACTGTGCAGTTAGTCTAACTACATTTTTTTTTCTACAGATTCTGACAGAAGACCCATATAAGAATGACCAGAATCTATATATGATTCTAAATTCATCATCTTATGTGCCATCTGCTTAATGCACATTTCTAATATAAACATTTGCCCTGGCTAGATATATCAGCACCACTGAAGAGAAGTAAGAAAAGAAAAATGAGGACAGCCCTTGGGCAATAATGTGCATCTTTCTTGACAGGACAAAGAAAGATGTGGCTTTCCTTAAAACAGAATCAGCCTATTCCATCTCCATCAGGAATCTGGTAAGTGAAGGTTCCCAACTTCCATCCCAGTACTACAGTAACACTTCCATTCAAGCTCACTGGCAGCTGATTGACTCTGTCAGCTCTGGGACTGTGCTATAGGACTGACAGATTTGTTGTTGTTCTTCATGACTTCATCCAACCTCCAGGGCCAACTGCCAGGTAGATTGCTTAAGGACAACAACAGTATCGCAGACTTACTCATTGCTGTGCATATATAAGTCAAAAGACTTTCCTATGCTAAAATTAGGATCAAAAGAACATACAATTATTTTCCTCTGGGTTAATCTATCAGATTTGGATTAATATTAACAACAGGGCATGAATGAAGTGGAGAATAAGCAGTACATTCCAATTTTAAAATATTTCCTTAGCATGGTTTTCAGCTCCCACTACTTCAGACATATGAATATTATGTGATGAGAAAATAGAAAGTCCTGGCCAACCTTTGGTGCTTATGGATTCTTTGCTCCTGCTTTGAGCTTTTCAGCTGAAATRCTGAAGCTTTCCATCCATTAGTTGTTTCCAAAGAAGGCAGTTTCAGACCCCACTGAAAAGGACCCCTAATGTCAGGAACTAGAATAAGCTGGCCAGGGACTTGCAAATTTATGCTGGCATTAGTAGAGTTAAGTTAAACTTCCAATATCCCTCATTATCAGAAAGAAAAGCCCACATACATCCAAGTGAAAGATGGTGGGAGGCTATATTTCCTTACTTAGCCCTTTCTGTCAGGGGCTAGTATGTGTCAGAGATCTGCATGATTCYCCCTGAGATGCTGAGAAATTCTGCAGAGCAGAAGTAGAGGCTTATGGAAATGAGAAGTGGAGAAGAGTGGTTTCTGCATGGAAAACCTTGTACCACTCATATTTAGCCAGAAGGCATAAGCTCAGGTTTCTGCTTGTATTGACYTTTAAAAATATTCTAGGACTCTACACTCTAGAATTTGAGCTGTTGGAGCAGGATGATGGTCTAAAATAGCTTACTAAATCAGATAAAATTGTTTATATTACTCAGCTTTGGCACTGAATTAGGCAATCAATGACAGATGATCACATGTGGCTACCATGCACTTTTTAAAAGAAAACAAAGCACAGTAAAAATGAAAGTGAAGGTAAAAGTCTTGTGGTTACAATGACTGCATCCATCCACCTCCTCGTGCTTTTGTGCCCTGATGTTTCAAGCTGTAAATGCTTTGGGAAAGGGATTTTGTTTTCCATCTGGAGTAGATAGGGTGTTGATAGGTGATAAAGTACAGACCACTAAAAGAATAGTTTGTGGTGCTATTAAGACACAACAGCTGAATCTACATTTTTTATATGTAAAATATGAAAAAAAAAAAAAGATTTGCAGAAGGGTTTTCTCCTCTCCTTTAATGTCATGCTCCTCCTATACGGTGAAACAGACCCACACATGTAAATAAAGTAAATTAAATGATTTAGAAAAGAACAAAGAATCATATTCTAGAACAGCTACACAATTAGCCTCAAAAAAAGGCAATGGTCAAGCTATGGTCCTTCAACAAACAAGTCCTTCAGGATAGCATGCAAAAGGAYAGAGCTAGTTTTAAGCGTACAATTTAGGATTCATTGTAAATGATCCTTTAGTATGACATTTGGTCCTGAAACCAAAATCTTTGGGATTCAGGAGATCTCTGAAAAATATCTTGTTGCACACCTATTCCAGGAGGTAACCATGTGGCTTGTGTCACCAGAATCCATTGCTAGCTTGGCTTCAGTGTGGCCTTTGCATCTCTGAAGGCAGCACAGGATGAATACTTGGGAAGCAGATTTTCAAGCCTCTCCTCTTTGTTTTGATTACGAAACAAGATGATACCAGAATAGACTTGCATACTCTCTGTGGATTCAGGGCTGAGTAGTCAGCATGTTTAAAAACATAATTGTGAGAGTAAACACCACCAAGGAGCCTGCCCTTTGTTTATATATCCTTGCTAATAGCTTAGGAAGAAGTCCAAATCATTGATGAGAAGTCAATGACTTCTCACTGAATGGCTTGAAGTTGAGGTGGGGGATGAGGAAAGAAGCAAAGAGCAGGGACTGTGTGATGGTTAAATGTAAAGTCAGATATTGTAGGACAAAGAASAAGAGCTATGCCCATAGGATGGGAATCACAATGCTAGGAAGCATGGACTCTGGGAAAATCCTGGACTCTCAGAATATCCTGGATTCAAGAAAATGACAAGGGCTGAAAATGGTTAGAAAGGGTAGTGTTATCCRTAAGAGGACAAGAAGAAAACACTGGTTAGGACCTGGAAGCACCTATAACATCTGCATTTGGCAGATGGAGATAGTTGCACTGCTGTAGAGCAGGGCTGCATCCTGCTGTGCTGAGCAGAGCACCAGCTCACTGGAAAAAAATAGAGTTTAGGGAAGAGTCACATAAATGAGTAAAGTACTGAATTGCACGGGATCAGAGAACGATTCAAGGAGGTCAGGCTACCTATCGGCGTAAAGCCTAAAAGATTTTTAAAGCTAAGGGACTCAATTAGAATCCATAGGTACTAGGAATACCTAGGGAATATTCTAGGGAATAAATCTTTGATAACAGAGCTCTTCTGTCTAGAGGACAAAGTGTTAACAAGAGCTAGTGGACAGCAGCTCATACCAGACAAACTCAGGCTAGAAACATGTTCCAAATGTCTAATCCTAATGGGCATAATTCCCCTGGGAGTAATATCCCAGCAGTTGTGGAGGGTTCTCCATCACAGACAGTTGTTTTAAATCAAGCCTGGTATTTTATAACCTGTGGTTAAGGCATCTGTTTTTATTGACTCAAGAATTAAGCTGAGGAAAATCAATGGCCTGTGTGATATGTGGAGGTCACGCTAGAGGATCAGAATGAGTCTTCCTGGGCTTTAACTGACTAGTTCATCCAGCAGCTTTCTACCACCGCCACTAAGGACTTTCCTATTCCCATTTCAACCATCTCATTACTATATTTAAAAATATACTAGCTGATTATTGTAATAATTCCCTTGAAAACTAACTAAAGTACTTGTTAGGCTCCCCTTTTCCCCCCGCTGTGAAATTAGAAGAATTCATGTTGCTGAGCTGATCAGAGGATAAATTAGGAATTAAAAGCTTTGTATGTCAAACATAAGCAACAGTGAAGTAGAGGTTGTGAAGACCTCATTGGCACGAAAAGTTTAGTGTTTCTGTGGTCTACAAAATCTTCAAGCCATAAATCAACGTGGTGTCCTCCACTGCTTTATGTTTATATAGGTCCCAGTTGGGCTGCTATAAAAGTAATAATGTGTGAGGTAATTTTTCAAAACTCACAACTCCTTTGAGAGCGCCAAAAGACCATCTGTGTTTGCAGATGAGAAGGCAGCTGTGCTTTAGAAAGTCACATCGCACCACAAAGCCCAGCAG